AAAAAAAAAAAAAATCTGGGGGGGAGAAGCGTCAAAATTGCAGGTCAGGTTGGTTGGGGAGACGCCACGCTCGGTGTCCTCCGGTGCCAGGTTGGAAGGGATCACCTTAAAGCCTTTTCCAACCTTAATAATTCCACAAAATTCCGCCACCCAGAGCAGCTCCTGAATTCCACCCAATGGTTCTCCTGCAACGAGGCCGCTCGGGGAATTTATCTGCGGTTTTAATTCCTCCACGGAAGAGCCGACACGCAGCCAGGCGGCGAATAAAGCTCCCGAGCGGCACCCCGGGAGGGCCGGCGAGCAAAACCCACCCCAAAAAACGCGGGGTTTGGGCTGATGGAGGGGGGAATGAGGCAGCGGAGGTGTCCCCGAGCTTGGGCCGCACCGCCCTGCGGCGCTGCGGGAGCAGAAGCTGCCCCGTGCCAGCGTGTTTAAGCCCAAAGTGCCCAGCGGGACACCCGTTAGTCGTCACGGGGGAGCCACAGGTGGGAAAACCCAGCGGGATGAGCCACGGGGAGAGCTCGGAGGACAGAGAGAGATGGAGGTGAAGCGAAGCTGTTGCCTCTTACAAGGCCCAGAAGGACCTTTGGGCCGGTTCCGGGGCCGCCGCCGGCCTCTTACAGAGCCCACCCGGGCAGGAGGGAGCCTCTTACAGAGCCCACCCGGGCAGGAGGGACCCTGGGGCGCGGCGGCAGGGCCAAAATACCAATGTCAAAACATGTGGGAGAGACAGGGAGGGTGTGAGGTTGGTCTCTGCTCTTACAACACATCCCACCGGATTTACGAGGCGAATCAACACTAAAAACACGGAGAAATCCCTCCGGAATTTGGCCCTTTTAACCTTGCGTGCCGCAGGGGTCGGAGGGTAAGGCGGGTGTGGAGGCACCCGCTCGCTCGACGAGGTTAAAAGAGGGCGGAAACCACGGTGGGTTTTGGATTTGGATAGTGAGAATTAAGTAAAAAAAAATAAAAAAAAATATGGTTTCTTAGGAGCTGAAGGTGCCGTTGGCTTCCTCACCGCTCGTTCAGAGACATCTTGGTGGTGCTCTTTAGCACGACCTTCGGTGCTGACTGTGCAGCCATCTTCAGAGAATCTGCAAAACAGGGCCCAAAAGAGAAAAATTCAGACTTTTATTACACGTTTGTACCGTTAAAAATTAAAAATCCCTTCCATTCTGACTCCTTAGGTGGAGGAAATCAAGATTAGGGCAGATTATGCATAATATATTCATTTATTTTCAGTGATTTTTAGCCCTCTGCCAGAATTTTTCAGCTCTGATTCTGGGATTTTTTATGTTTTTTAATCCTCTTCGAGTTTTAATCAATCAAGGTGTTCCTTTATTTCCCCCTTACCGAAATTTTATCTTTTTACAGTGAATGCTTCAGCAATATTACAAGGAATAATAAAAAAACCCAGCAGGAAGATGGCAACCAAATGCCATCTTCAGGGCAAAGATGCAAAACAGAACTGAAAACAAAATTTATACAATTATTAAACAATTCATTATTATACATATTATTTAAATTAATTAAATTATTAATTAAATTAAAAATTTATTATTATACTATTATTAATTATTAAATTTATACAATCATTACATATTTATATGAGAAGCATTAAGAAACCTCTGTTCTGCATGGAGAGAATTAAGAATGAGGCAGGTAATAAGTATTACTTATTATTTATAAAAATATTTCTGTATTTTTAATGTTTTCTAGCCTTTTACCTGGTTTAATAAACGTGGGAGTTACATTTTTACCGAAGGTAAAATAAAGTATCTTTTTACAGCGAATATCTTACCCTTTTTGAGTAATAACACTGAAATCCAGCTGTAAATGGCAACCAAGTGCCTTTAGCACAGTGACACCTCCACATTTCCAATGTTCTCATTATTAACAAGGTACAAGCCCCAGTTTTAAGGGCACAGTGAATAAAATTTTGGATAAAATTCCAAGGTGATGCTATAAAAGGGTAATATCCTTTAAAAACACCCAGGTTTCACCTCCATCAGTGCAGGGATTTAAATCCCCCCCAGCGCTGGATGCTACAGAAACATGCTGAGTTCCAGCCCCCGAGCTCTGCAGATCGATTAATTAATTTAATTTATAATTAGCAGCAAATTTAATGGGTGGATGACGGCCGGGATGCGCTCACTCTGTAATACCCTCAAAAAACCGCTTTATTGAGAGGATTTACGGGCAGAAATCGAGACAACAGAAAGCCTTACTCCTGCCTTGAATTATTTTTCACCGTTTTATTTTAACACAGAGTGGCTTTTTGTATTTGAAGTGGCTTTTAAAACGTTTTTCTTCCTGAGGGAAAAAAACCACAAACCCGCTCCGCCCCCCTCGGCTCCGGAGCCCGGTCAGGGGGAAAAGCCCCGACCCTGAGGGGGCCCCCCGGGCCATGAGGGGACCCCCCGGGCCCTCCGGAACGCCCCGCCCCCGCGCCGGCCACTCACCGAAGCACACGGT